GCTAGACTATGTGACCATTTTATTATTGTGAATTGTTTAGAGCGAGTGCCACATCTTACTGTTAGCTGCAAGTTTTGGAAGATGTCTACCATTTGTGATGGGATGATTCTATGTACTTGTCGGCACTAAAAAGTTTGAGGAGTTGCCCGTAAGAAGCTGTCGGTCACCGGAATCGAAATCCCGTCACCCGCTTCGGAAGACGCTTTAATTTACATATAAATTTAAGTTTAGAAAAATATGAAATCAAACTTACCTCATAATCTTCACAGTTTAAATGAAAGAGCGCTCTACCTCAAATCTTGTATCTGTCCCGAGGGATAAACACAAGACTTGAGGATGAGGCTCGATCAAATAAACTAAAAAATATATGACGTCCGTTTGGTCTGCGAAATCATTTTATTTGCCGATAAATTCTCCTATTTAATATGAAAAATTAAATAGGGTTTATTTTAAGCTTGGTTCGAAAAAGCTCCTTATAGGGGCAAGCCTCTATAGTTAGTTACATCTTAGACAATCGTAGTTACCTAAGAATACTCTCAATAAAAATCAGGAAAGATTATCTTCAAGGAGGTCAAAAGGATAGGACTTTTCAACGAAATCGGACAAAGAGGTGCAAAGGGGAATGGTTCAAACTTGGAATATTTATTGTAGAATCCAAAGGAGGAAGAATTAGGGGATGTCACAGATTTGAAGGAGAACCTCGATGACTTCCCAGACTATCCTATAGTTTGGCTTCAGTTTAGAGGAGAAATTATTCAAGTGTTTTATCTTGTCAATCTTATTTAATTAAGGCTTACACTTGTATGAAACGATCACACAAATAGCTTAGAAGATGTGAGGATTTAGGTCGGGACGAACGACAACCTTTCTCGGAATCCTAAAATGAGTTAGGACTCAAATTGCACAGTAGAGCGGTACAAATGCCTAAAAGAAAAGTTGAGGATTTATGTCGCACCATGCGAACAACCCCGAAATTCTATGGATTGTTGTTTAATTCTAAGGAATGAATGACTTAGCTGAGGAAGACATGTTCTGCTGTTGAAGATGGTCGTGTTGCCTACCGCACTAGCTTCAAGTTCCTTGTCGTGACGAGTTCAAGTTTTTTAGGGTGTCAAGTTACAATGTCAATTCCAACGGCCCTATGATTGTAGTTCTTTAAACATTTTATAGGAAACATGTTGAAGTTGTACAACGTATAGCATAACAGTAGAGTATGTAGCACAGGACAAGCAGTAGAATATGCAGTAAAGAAAATTGTACAACATGCGGTGTAAAGGAAGAGTAAGAAGTACAGCAGGAAGGTGATTTGCAAGAAAGTAACATGCTGTAAACACAAAACAAATCTATATACCTGGGAGATCCGCTGTTCCTTAGGTGTAATTGATGCAACAGGCACAAACAACAAAATTGAGGAAGCAGGCTGAAATGCTTTATATAAATGAAAGCAAAGAAACATCGTCCAGAAATCTCGAGAAAAAATCGTCAAAAGACTCACGACAAGAAAAATGCGAGGAAATCGATGAATCGACAAATCGATGAAAATCGTTGAAAAACACGGAAAAATCCCTAAAAGAGACCACGAGTGCTTTGTCTAAAAATTCTAAGAAAACATATAAAGAAGTCCGAAAGAGGGGACCGCAAGCACTCGGATCGGGGCTAGGCTCAACTATATGTTAGTACTCGAGGGTCGTCGAAGGCTACTCAGTCACCTGGATGTATAAAGTCCACCACTCAACTAGAAGGGTGTCCTATCGAACCTAACTCAGGAGGGTACTCCTTACCCCAAACAGGTAATCAACAGGTGGACAACCAATGTTTAAAAATGTTTTATATTTTTAGCATGCACATAAGTTTCAAGCATAGAAAAGGGGTTGTATCAATTTTATTTGTAGTGAAAAATATATTTTTGTTTTAGAAAAAGATGTATATGTTCTTATCAATTTTTTTTTTTATCGATTTTGAAAAGTAGTTGTCCACGAGTCGATCGCGGTGTCGGGCATAGGGCCACCAACAATCTAAGAAGGTTCGAGTCAACTCTCGCTAGTCTTATGTCGGTGAATGATACTGTCATCCTACAGCTCACCGGGTTCCTGAATCGGATCCTGATAGGTTCTTGAATATGATCCTGATGTCGTGGAATGACATATCATTCTGCTCTTTCTCTGGTGTGCCTTTGTCATCACCGCCCTAAGCCCCAAAATAAAACCGAACTACTTGCGACCTTGCTTGATGATTTCACGTATAGCAAAAGGCTATATGTGGACACTTATGTATCAGATATAAGCATCAAAAACCGCAGTAAGTGAGAGAAGAAAATGACAGAGTTTTCCTCCCTTCTAAGATTTTCGGCCCTTTGAAACGCACCAAACGAAAGCCTCATATGGACCAGAAAAGGAGAAGGAATGATTAAGAGATCGCATATGGCTCGAGAGATCGAGAGAGGCAGAGGATACAATCCGCGGCAGAGAAGATCGAACTCAGAATGCAGAAGATAGGATACGAGGGATGGGTGTCTGCGAGATTTGTCTCGCGTGCGAGAGGCGAACGCGGGAACGAATCCCTCCAACGACACGAAGGAGCGGGTCAGGCAACCGAACGAGATCTAGGGTTGAGGTAGGCCCACGGGTTTGAGAGAATGAGGTGGGGAGGGAGGAGATAGATTTAGGTTATAAATAATAATAATATTATTATTATTATTATTTATTATTATAATTATACCTAAATTACGCATCTTCCCCACGTCGGTGTAGTCCGTTTCGTCATCCATAGTAGTTTAGACAACCTCGTCGATGATCGGGACAAAAACGCGTCTCGACCCGAACCGCGTCAAAAACTCGGCTCGAGCTCAATCAAACAGGACGGCGAAGAGCATGACGGTGCCAAATCAACGCGTACGGTCAATCCTAAGGCCAACAGTCCTATAGGGATGCTCCTTGAGTTTCTCCACAGTAGTCTTACCTACTAAGTAATAGCGGTCAAAATTACCATGCGGAACTTCAAGTCGAGCGAAGAAAAGCTCAGAATTTCTAACGGGAAGGGCTCCTTTGCTAGTTTTCTAGAAGTAGTCGACGGGGAAGTCTTACGGCTAGACTGTAGGCTATTAAAGAGGAGAAAAACTACACCTCCGCCAGTACTATTATTACTCTCATGATTACTTGAGCACCTCATGTTATTTTAAATTATATCAAATGGATGGAGCACTAGGACGGTAAAGAATAGTGTGCGATGCATTGGTTCTATGACCGATAACAGCCAGAATTATCTTACAAATTATTCTATTCTTAATCATTAATTTAATTATGATCACATGTCCTATGAAGATTACTTGATAGATCACTATAATTACAGAAGCTGAAATCCTGAACAGATAGCCTACCAACTGTCCCCATCACATCGACACCATGAGCCTCTCCAACACTACTACATCTCCAAGCCTTTCCAAACCACTAAGTCACGCCGTTCTTCTCTCCAAATCCAACTCCTATTTCGAACATTTCTAAACTTCAAAACCGATAGACTCTTCCAGCTCCCACAATTGAGCCTATCCTATTGACGACTCTGTTTTCCAAAGTCTTAGTTACCTTACCAATTCCTAGAGTTAAGCTGACCTTCCCTAGCACTCCATTGCGATAAATAATCCGTGATCTTATCCAAACTTAGAAGTTCAGAAACCCATCACACCCCACCACCTTCGAAACCTTGATTGCAGCCCAACCTGCTTTGCTAGACTAGACATCTCTCTAATAGTTGTTCTAGTTCTGCTGGTATTTAAGATCGTATGAAGTTCGTGTTGCGAAAAGATTCATCACCGCAACCTTACTTTTGCTTAACTATTTCATGAACAGGCAAGGATTATTGAAATTAACTTTTGGAATTCTTCTACCACTAAAATCTCGCGGCAGTCTCCATCATGGATTTGAAAGAGAGGCTTTTAATATTTTCTTCTCTTTGCTCATCCCTGTAGAATAAAAAAGCTCATAATAATGCGAATGGCTGCCATGAATGCGAGAATCTTGTTGCTTTAATTGATGAATGTGAAACTCTACAATTTTGCTGATATGTTTCATGACTTGTGGCTCTTTTTTTGGGGGAGGCTCATGCCTAGTGGGTTCTCCTGCTCCAAGTATGCTATTCTCTAATATTGCAATTACAAATTTTGTGGTCAGATCAACTAGAGTGAGAGTTATTGCAAGTTCTTAACCGAGGTTATCTTCTAGAAGAAACGCTTGATCAAACGAGAAACTAAAGATTTTCAGGAGAGGTTATCCCTTTTTACAAAAGTGGCTTAGTTTGATAACTTTTTTTCAACTCTTTTTATTTTTTTGGAACATTTTTATTCTTTTGAGTTCTTAATTTATTTATTTTAAGTTTGATACAATACAAATCTAATGCGTTTGGATAATTTTGTGCATATCATTGTAGAATTGCATTAATAAAATCATATACCCTAAGAATATGTATCACCAACTCATTATCACTTTTTTTCCTTATAATTTTTTTGATTAATAAGAATTAACAGAACTCATTCTCTTTTTTTTCTTATAATTGTTATAATTAATAAGAATTAGCAGAACACTCTACCCTAGGGTTACTTAAATGCACCAAAAAAATTGTCGATTATATATTCTTTGTTATTTAGTTTGCAATTTTTTTTAATATTTCATATCACAAATAGCACATTTAAGTTATAGGGGAAGTATCCTGGTTGTTTAAGCAAGTGATATTTTTTTGCGTCTTAAGCAAGTTACCTGAATCATTCTTAGTTTCTGTTTTCTTCTTCAGATTATTAAACTAGTAACCGATTAAGCAAACAAGCTAAGATTTTTGTTAAATGGTGTCTCATTTTATGGTTTTGCTTGGTTCATGTTGGCTGATTCTGAAATTAGTATTCCCCGTCTACTGAATCTGATTTTCAGTAGTTCCTAATTTCAGTTATACTTAAATCTGCTATTTACAAATTTCAGATTATAAATCTCCTTAGCCCATCTTATACCTTGCAGAAGAGTTATCCGACCTTGGCTAGGGCTAAAAATGCTTGACCTTAATGATATGGTCATTTCACAGCTCAAAGAAAGAGATTCAACATTTCCAAATGTCATCAGAGGCGTTCTGATACTTATGGTATGCTCTCTTTTGTTTAAAATGCCTCAATGTGATTTTATGTTATATCAAATAATATTAATTCATTCTGTGAGCGCATTTTGGAAATTCTATATTATGGAGATTCGCATAATGATTTAGAGATTTTTCATGGATTAATGATGCTTTTGCATGCAATATTTTGATCCAATAAGATGCTTTTTAACAAATTGGTTCACTCCCCTATAACTAGTTTTTTAATGAATTGATTAATTTTGTAAAGTAGTGATCAATATCAATATTATCATGATACTCCATTTTTTACATAAAGACTGTGTTTAAGGCTCTTCAACATTTACTGAAAAAAATTGACTTTTGATACATTTGGATACTTTTTAAGGTGGTGTTACCGAGCTAGCTCTAAACAATTTATGGATATATCTTATTATATTTGTAACAAGGGACTTGAGTTTTTGGAGATTTTCTCTTTATTTATCCTTTTTCTTCTCCACTTTTAAGTGGATTTTTTTAATTTTTCTTTTTTTTTAATATTATTTGGAGCAAACTACTGCAAACTAACACTTTGCGGTGGAGCAGTGATGCAAATGAATAATTTCTTGGAACTTGCAATTTCTGGTCCAAGTGTACCCTTAAGGGAGGCACAACAAATTAACAGCCGTTATTCAAGTGCTTGTCTAGGAAAATGAAATTCTTTGGTTTACCACATAATCACTACCGATGATCCTTAAACCAACTTCGCATGTGGTTCAACTTTTGTTTTAAGAAGTGTGTAAAAAAGTACAGAGCAAGTAAATGATAAATGATACTCTAATGGTGTTTGTTAATCTAAAAAAAGGTATTTAATGTAGTGCTAGTAGAATTGATGTAGGATTATTTTTCTGAGCATTATGAAAAAAATGTGTTTATATTATATTAAAATTATTAAAGACATATATGATGCATTAATGACTTATGCAAGTGTTTATGAGGAAACAAAGAAGTTTTAATTCATGAAAGGTGTATATTTTGAATCAATATTAAGTTTGAATCTTTTCATGCTGATTATGAAGATTGTTATGTAGGCTATATGAATTGAGCTTGTTGTATGCTATTTGCAAAATGTATGTATGAGATTTCTTTGAAAGTAAAAAAGCAGAGTAATAAAGAATTTTTTGGAATATAGTTTTAGGTTTACTAAAGCAAAGTTTGAATAAATTTTATGTAATTTTATTGGAGGTGAAATTTATCATCTATCATTGAATGCTATTGGAAGAATTTTTATCTAGTTATGAATCATAGATTTAAGTACTATGAATCTATTAAAAAATTAGATAAATTTTAAGTGTCACCAAATGTAATATGTTTAGTAGAATCAATTCTTGAGGCTATGAGCCAATAGTCAACATTACTTTGGGCATAAGATTGTTGATGATTGTGATCAAATCCATGCATATTAATGGTTTTTGAATTAATTTGTTTTGACAAACAGGTTACTCCAGGATCTCCAGCTGAACAAGCTGGATTTCTGCCAGGTGATGTAGTTGCTGAATTTGATGGCAAGCCTATTTCGAGTATAAAGGAGGTATGTTCATAGGAGATTTTTTATTTGTAAATGTTTTTAAGTTTGTGTTTTCTTTTTTAATTCTTTTATGGTGCATTTACATTCATACCACACAAGTCTTGTATAATTATATTTAATGCCTAAACTTTCATATTTACCAACATAAAACTCAAAATGTAAACTTCACATAAAAAAGCCACTATTAACTACTTTTTAAAAATGAGTGAAATAAACCTTTTCTGCATAATTTTAGACACCAAATGTGTTGAATCCAAAATTGTCTGTGTGACACACCAAGGCCTAGAGCATAGATAGGAGTGAGAGATGGAGAGAGAAAGAGAGAGAAAGAAAGAG